CGTAAGTTGCCTCTTCTTCCGCGTGCCGTTCTGGCTGGTTTGACTGGATCGCGGAGCGAAATGCGTTGATGGACAGCTCCAACGTGGTGGCATTCGGTGGGTATCTTCCTGGCTCGCTGCGGATTGTCTGTCGGGATGTAATTGTCGATTCGTTCGTTTCGGGTGGCAGTTACCATTGTCTCTCGAAGTACATCTAGCCGCTACGTCTGCAAGTCTGGTTGGATGAGCCCCACTCTTGATTCGTTCGCTAGCCGGGGCCCTCTTTGTGACACCTTCCATCACACTCGCCCCTCCTCTAAAATGATTGCCGCCGGTGTGCCACCGCTCCAATTCTTTAACATTTACCCATCTTTCTTGAGGACCCTGTTTGATCCGGAAACTGGCTTTCTTCCTCTCCAGGACAGTGAATGGTCCCATCCATCTCTGATTTAACTTTCCGGCCCCGACCCTGTTGTTTCGGGTCTGCCGTGATTCTTAACTTTTACTAGCTGTCCCGGTACGAACGGCTGCCACTTTTGTGATCGGTGTTCTTTGTCGTATCTTGCTTTGTTGCGCTGCTGGGTTTGCCTGGTTTGCTGAACCGCTGCTCTCTCCAGCTGGTCTCGCTCCTTCGTGGAAAGTTGTTCGTCAGATCTTCAGAGAAACGCATTCAGAGGAGTTTCGGGCTCTCTACCGTATGTGATTTCGTAGGGTGGTATCTCCGTTGTGGAATGAGATGTGGTTCTTTAGTTGAATAGGATTTCCGATAGGCTTTCTTCCCAATTACCACGATGATTATTGCGCAATTCCTTCATTGTTCTGTTGAATCTTTCATTCACTCCGTTGGTCTGCGGATGATAGGGGGACTTCTTGTTCGTTTGATGTCCCAGCGCTCCAAGGTCTCCCGAAAATCTTGGATTCGAAACACGGTCCCTGGTCCGGGATACCGAATCATGCAACCACATTGTCGATAAATATCCGAGCTATCGCAATAGCATTACACGCTTGGCTATCAGCAACAAACGAAAGAGCCGCCCAAAGCTCTTCTTCTACTACAATACTACGATTCCCGTTGATGTTGGAATTGGGACTTCATCCAGACAATTTCGACTATCGTACACACTCATCAACATTCGCATCTCGCTTCAAATTCGCTGCGACTGGATTCAAACCAATGGGATGCCTCGAGTGAAGCTACCGGTTCCGGCACGCAAAATGTCTATAACACTGATCCGCCCTGCGTCGGGTAGATTTTTATCTCCATAAAAATAACCGTATGACATGCACACCAACACTGAGTAAGTGATTTTATCTGGCAAAAGCCTAAAATAGTTTAATCATAATTTGTCACTTGCTTCCAATTTCGCAGTTACCGAAACACCTATTTGGACACACTCAGTCGGCTTATCATTTGATCTAATATCGTTACACGGTCCTAATTCGGATACGCGTACGTGTGTGTTAAAAAAAGGAAGACTCATCCATATCGTGGTTTTTCCCCGTATAATCGGTGTTTAGTGAAAAAGATACTTCATATACGAATAACAATGGAATAAACGGTACATGGAACGGACTCACAGAAAGATTGTCCGTCTGGTTGATTGGTCCAGTTCTTCTAATGTGTGGCTCCGGTTGATAGTGTACAGTATTGCCGCAATGGATGGCTGCGACAGTCAGCGGACCGCTTGACGATAACTGATGATATACGCGTAGTGCTTCAGCAACACTCGGAGAACACGTGCGCAGTTACGAATAAAATTTGTATTGTGTTGTTAGGTAGTCTGCATATTAAAACAAACTGTACAATCATGTCATCGAGAATTGGATAGAAAAGTAAGATACGACAGGTGTTCCAACTATCACCTTCGAATGTTTTGTTTACTCAGTGTTGTTCTGTTCCATTGTCGCACGATATTCATCCTTTGATCCTTTTCAGCCTGGATCTCAGATACCAGTTGTCTGAACAACCTCTATCTGTCTAGGAGATCTATATCACCACAGACGTACTTTCTTTGAAAACCTCCCCACCTCCCACCCTAAACACCTTTGTGACAGTGGCGGATCAATTCTTGTCGCTCATCGTAGCATTAGTATGTGATATGACAGTACACATCTTGTCCCCCCCCATCCCAACCCCAACTCCGGACACACACACACATTTACTTCAGCTTCTCGCTCACACCTGCCAACCAAATGTATCAATCAGACAATATCAAGAAGGCGACAAGTACAAACAGTTAACACTTTCCATGTTTCATGATCCATGAATGGCAAGTCGCACCAAAAATGTGTTCGGAAATTGTTTTTGTTTTTATAACACTATTTCATCAGTCGTTTTATTGTGTGGATCGTCTAATAGCATGCAACTCCCTCTCTGGCGAATTGTGCGTTGAAAGATGTACGCAAATCGAACCGAGAAAATGATTTGTATGGTCCATTTCTAACTGACCAGACTGAAAACAAATAACTGGTGATAAACTACCGTTCTGCTCCTCTGTCGCACAGAAACGAAACTTCAGGATTCCCTGTAATGATCTGATCAGGCTGAATTTCTAAGCGCGCACCTTGAGGGGATGTCAATACTTTCCCGAGCTTGATTGATACCATGGAATTTTTCTTCGATTTCTATTCACGAGTGAAATTTTCAACTGCGGAATATGCAGATCATCAAGTTTACTGGAACTATTTCGGTAGGTAGTTTGTCCCGGACATTCCAGTCAGCTTTCGAAACAGGGAATGCCGAGTGAAACAGAATCAATCTGGTCTGATGATGAGCAAGTGACATTTACAAACTACAGGTATTGGTCATTTGCAATATGCCTCGACAGTTAAGTGAACGTTGTGCTTTCAGACTACAGCTTAGATCGAACTGAGGCCTCCGTATTGGTCGAAAATTCATATAACAAGAAATTGTTTTCCAATGCTGAATTTGGAAATGGCATTTGTATAACCTGAGCGAATATATATATATATATATATTTGATAATAAGTAGTATGTGAATGAGTGGACAAAATTTCCCTGGAAGCACACGACCGGTTTCGCGGTTCTTGCCGCTCGTCAGGCATACGTTGGACTGGCTCTGAAAGAGCTGTCTATCCAATAGCCACCCGGCGTTGCATACAAGGTTATTGTGACAAAAATACACTTCCTGGGTACAAGCATATGAAAGAACTGACAAAAGATTACCGGATACGCATGCCTGACGAGCGGCAAGAACCGCGAAACCGGTCGTGTGCTTCCAGGGAAATTTTGTCCAGTCATTCACATACTACTTATTATCAGATATTCTACCAAGACCATCAGATCACGTTTGTTGCGGTTAGTAGCATCTAACCCACTTACAAAAACATCGAATCATAGCATTGATTCTTCATTGGACTGGCTCTGAAAGAGCTGTCTATCCAATGGTCACCTGGCGTTGCAAACAAGGTTATTGTGATGAATACATATATATATATATATATATGTATTTATGCTTCTCTGTCGATGTTTGGTTTTGTGAGTTCATTCTGTGTGAGTTGCAATCACTGAACAATATTCACAATGCGAGATTACAGTTAACGTTTTCTCTGTCCCCGGCACATTTGCGCCTCTTACTGATCGTGTACTGTTATCCGGAGGTTATTTAATCAATCCTCGTATATACATTACAATCTGAACAAATTGAACCGATAGCGCACGATAAGGGATAGTTCTAAAAGCAGAGCAATGGTCAAAATAACCACACAATGTGATGTAAACTTTGTATACAGTCAGTTCCTATTCGACACGGTGTGACCTTTTGGCTCTTCAATAGCAAACAGACGCCATTGACCAATAACTAACAAGGCCAGGAGATGAACTCAGTGACGGTCATTGGACTATCTAGATTGATTTAGATCCCAATGAAATGGAATCTAAGAGTCTTATCATCTTTGAACAATTCCGTAAGTTCCAAAGGTCGCTGTTTCATTGTCCTGAGACACCGAGACAGCCGCCTATAAGTTACAACTTTTGATCGCAATTCACATGCGGAAAAAGGAAAAACCGAAGTGAACAGTTTGCACCCCATCCCACCCCAATCTATCCACACTATCTTATCTCACTTTGGAAACCGGTACTATACAGCCCACATAGTGACTTTCTATGTAAAAAGGGAACAGTCTCCACCGGTAAAATCTTGGTCCTTACATCTGTGTGTGATTGTGTTGCGCGCTGTTGATGAGGATGAAAGTTACAGACAAAAAAAATTTGATGCATGCCCGAGAAATCGGAAATCTGCGATAGCGGGGAAAACAAAATTTTGTCTGATACTAATTCAATTGCAAGACATCTCACAAAAGATGAACTGGTAAAAGTATGCTAATATTTTGATTCAAAATACTATGGATTTATTGTACCTACCCCACAATATATTTACCAAAAGTCTGAACTAGCGAGGCAATAAATAACTAAGCTGTTGAAAGTTTCCAAGTCACGTGCCTCTTTCCGAACCACAGCCGATCTGCATCACGCGTATCTTTTTTCGGCCAAATCCCACTGTGTGAAGCTGACTGGTGCCGTGTTAAGGTCGGATCGAGGCATGTATACGGACCAGATAACTGCTGGTATGTGATTTATACCATATATCTTTGATTGCTGAACCAGATAAGGGATTGTTGTATGTAGCTAAGTAAGTTTTGCTCTTAAGTAATTACTGACGAAAATAACTCATGGTAGTAATGTCACAAACAGGTTTCTTTAAATAAAATTTCTATCAAATTTCACTGAGACATATCTGGTCATGAGAAAAAAAAGAACTTGCGATGGGAAATTTATCTCAAATATCCATAAGCGGGTTGGAAATGTGATAATGTACAACTGGATGGGGATTAGCAAACTACTGAAAGCAAGGTCCAGAGAGAGTTCTACGTTTAAACATATATGACGTGTGTGTACCGCATCCAAACGAACGATAAACAATCCCGTACAATAACTAATACGCCGTTCAACAAACTTTATAAAAAATTCCGTTGAAAAAAACCAAAAAATTCACTCGAACTCACGATTCGGACCAACGAATAGCGTTAGTCAGTACACGAGAGTACATGGCAGGGTAAACACGCAGAGAGTAACCGGGAGCAACACTTGACAACACATTCGGACGGAGATAATCCATGGCTTAAATGGAAAGTAAAAGACCGTAGTGGTCGGTTTGAAGTTGATTTTGGTGTTGGCAATTGGTCATGTCAAACGAAATCGGTAAACCGTCTAGTCGATATTCGAAAAGATTAGTACAGATTTCAAACGTATGCACACACAAACGTAAATACGGATATGGTGTCCGGGTACTGAGACCTAATCTCTGAAAATGATCGTGAATAATTGTATATAGCCCTGAATGACGTAGAGAAATATTGCATCTTTCTAACCGACGAAACTCTGCAGCTCTATCCTCTTTGTTTAGAGTATATTTTGTACAGATTACCACAAGAACGAATCGTGTTTACGCAAAATAACGATGGATGTTGAGATGTTTAAATTATATTAAATTTTAAATTTCAATTCCTTCTTTTGAGGGAATTGGTCAATCAAAGAGCTGCCGTGAATAAAGTCACGTGGTGCTGGTGATGGTGGTAGTGGTGGTGATTCTGGTGGTGGTGGTGGTAGTAGTAGTGGTAGTATTCCAACCCACGTCCGCCTGGGTGATAATTTAGTGACCCTTACAACTCGGCTGCTACTAACTGCAGTACACTACACCTTTGGCAAATCACCTTGCAAGAACATCACAACATTAATTAAATGATACTGAGTGAATCGAATTAAAGTACCTATCACTGACGATAGTACGATTGTTCGACAAACAAGATGATTCAACATTCTCCGGGATTAGCAGCACGAATGATGAAAACTCCACCGGGAGAGCTGAAATACAGTCACCCGATGCCCTCAGTACAAAACATCTGATCATTTAAGGTTCCTTTATATTCTAAACAATGACGGTGAAATTATTTTGCCTGATCATGCGGAACTCGTGATACTATTCGACATTGTTATCATGACAGCAACAAGTGTGTTTTTCATTCGATGCGAAATTGTTCTGGTCGGGCAACTTAGTCCTGAAGTAAAAAGCGGATATTTTGTCTCGGAAGACGAAGAAATTACCGCTGTTCATGAATTATTCACTCCGCGGCACTGTTGTTTTGCTCATTATCCCTTGTATCTATGTGAACTGGAGCTCGTAAGTAATCCCATGCTGACCGCATTGTCCAGTTTTCTCATCACAGTTATCATCATCATCATCATCATCCGAATCATCCGAATCATCATCATCATCATCATCCGAATCATCATCATCATTATTCTCATCATAGGGAACTGCTATCGTTTTCATGGTTTTACTGCAGCCTCTGATTGATCCCTTCCCTTCTACCAAAAACTGAGTGCATGATTTTTGCAAACCAAAGTTGTCAGAAAACTGTATCGATCGGGTGGGTTCGAGACATAAAAAAGAGGCAAACACAACAGGTTTGGCGAAATCGTCCTAGATGCAATTGATTAGCCGTAACTACAGGATTAGTTACAGAAAAAAAGATTAACATTTTCCGTCATAGTGGGACAGATGTATCGAGATAGTTTTATACTATCAAAATACGTTCCACTAATTGTATTATAGAGACCAATAATGTTACCATATGTGCCATCTACAAATAGATATATCAAATATTATTTCTGGTTTTGGTCTAATTTGAGCATGTTTTTCGCTTGAAGTAAAACGTTACACTGTTCATAATAAATCAATTGGCATTTGTTTCACGATTGTTGGCTCTCGTTCATAGTTTTCAGTTGTATGTTTCGTACGTATGTCTTGAACAAAAGTCATGCCGATGAGAATTTGATTTTTAGCAAGCCTGTTCAACATCAATGTAATACCGTTTTACGTTAAGCATCCCAATCTCTCTGAAGGATGCGTGTTTTAGAATTTTTTTGACATACAAATCGGGAGGCGATCAAATGGGACCTTACCACAACAATCCGTCTACCGGAAGACCACATGGAGTGAACAATACTTAGAATTTACCATAGTTTTGCTCCTTCGGTATACAAAAGAGGTTTGGTGACAACCCTGTTCCATCGTACCAGGAATATTGGCTCCGTTGACACTCCCCAAGATCGAAGAGGCTATTCTATGAAGGATACTACCAGATAATAGCTGTTCAGAGAAATCTATTGATTTGCATAGCGGACGAACATTACCGGTTGATCCCGTCTGCAAAGTGCCGAATTATTGCGTCTTTCTCTGACTGGCCGTCATCGGCCCACATTTATTGAACGAAGTGTGTCACAACCTTAAGGCCGCATTATGTCAGCTAGTTCGTGTCGCACAGCTTTGACGGATACCATACACCCACAGAATTGGACTGACAAACCGAAAACGGAGCCAACCGCGCAATTCCGCTTCACATGTTATCGATCAGTGCACATACACAGTTTGCGGTATCACTGACACCGGCACAACGAATCAGTCCCTCCAACACAACGGATGTCCAGACGCATTCTCAACTGGCTACTACCACAGTCAATAAGGCAGTACAACCTCAGAGATCAGCCTGATAAGAGAAATAAATATATATATATTTCACATTTGTCTGAGGACAGACTGTGTGCCAAACAAATCATGGTACAATAATCTTTATAAAAAGAAAAATGTTCCACGATTGGCTTGTGGGCTGAT